GCTGCAGCAACAACAACAACGGAATCTTAGAAACTATTGCTGCATCAAGAAGCACCATCTACTGCAGGAGCACCAGACCTTTCATCAGAAAGACACGAGAAGCAACTGGATCTACAGAATTAACAACAGCAAAGACAATGTTAGCTGCAGCAGCACCTGCAACAGCAGAAGCAACAGGTGCTGCAGCAGCAGCAGCACCAACAGGAAAAAGGCCGCACTGAAAGAGAACACCTCTCTCTCTCTCTCTCTCTCTCTCTCTCTCTCTCTCTCTCTCTCTCTCTCTCTCTCTTGGGGAAAACAAAGAAACATAGGCCCTTAGGGCTGTGTTCCCCACGGCCCTGCGGCAGACAATTTGGTGGTATTCGATTTAATCTTACCGCCTTTGCAGTCATTTTCCCATCCCCTAAGGTCAGGACAACTGTCGTTACCAATCTGTCTGATTATCTTACTGTTGATTTTCGTTTGATAACCATCCTACCCGACCCACTTGTGAACCAAATCTGAAGCCTGTGACACTACCCTGCCAGAGCCCTAATCTGCACCCACTTCCCATAAGGATGCCCTCCGCCCTGCATGATGATGTCTTCATAGAATGGTGCTCCCCTAGGGTGGGCTAAGCCCTCTAAGCCCCTTGTCACCACCCAGTCACCGACAACACAGAGTAGGACTTACCTTAGTCTACCACTGCTCCTCCAAAACATTCTCCTCCCTCAATGATGATGCCCTGTAGAGCAGTGTTCCCCAAACGGTTGTCACTACCCTACCCTGCTCCCCCAAGAGTACGACATCTCCGTCAAGACAGTTACATTCCATCGCAAATAGTTAATGTTTCCATCTATCGGTGCGCACATGATTGTGTGTGTCTCCCGTGAGGGAAAGACAGAGGGAACTGTCTGTTCTTTTGTCCATACGTAGTCATTCATTTTTCAACGACTTGCTGTCCTTCGCCCTAGCACATGGACCTCGATCCCTGGAAAGTTGGAGCAATCAAGAACTACTTGAAGCATAGCCAGATAGAGGGAGAAAGGACAACTGATACTCTAGCACCACGGCAGAGAAGAGTGGCCAATGACCAAAACATTACAGAGAGAGTTCACCTTTATGATGGACAGAGCGAGGAGAAAGAACAAGGAGATCAAAAGGCACAGGAGATGGTCACCCTATCTAATGGAGCTGATGCTCCTTTATGCTGTTCTGTTTATGCAAAGTGTACCGGTTTCTCGCAGTGCACTAGAAGACCCCCGTGTCACTGAGCTTGTCCGCTTGCGGCGATTCTCGTCCGATAGTGTAATAGACTTTGATGAGCGGCAATTCCACCTACTTGCACAAGGAGAGGAGCCACGGCCTTATTCCATAATCCTCTTCATGGATGCTGACCAACTGCGCAGCAATGCGGAGCTCAAGCTTGGAGAACTTCGAGAAGAGTTTGGCTTAGTCGCCCGTGCCTACACTGATTCCCATGCCGATTCCTCTGTGGTGAACAAGGTCTTCTTCGCTTCTGTGGAGTATAGCCGCGCCCAAGGTGTTTTCCTGTTGTTAAATGTAAAGGCACTGCCACATATACGACACGTGGCACCATCTAGTGAGCCAGACGGAGATACAGTACTAGACGCATCACTGTACGGAAGATCCGCAGAGAGCATAGCACAGTTTGTTCTCCACACTACGGGAGAGGAGATCGAGGCAATCATTCGCCCCCATCTTCTGTCCAGCAGTCGGATTCTCCTTCTCACGGTGGTTTGTGCAATAGCCTTTCCACTACTCGTTCATCTGTTCCTCAACCCACTGCGCTCCTTCTTCTCCAGTCCAACCATCTACTGCTTCCTCGCCATGCTCGTCTACTTCTTCTCCGTCTCAGGTGGCCTGTATAATATTATTAGGGATGTGCCCATGTACCATAAAGATCCGAGGAATCCGGGGAGGTCGATCTTCTTCTATCAAGGTTCAGGAACGCAACTCGGAGCAGAGGGGTTCACCATCGGATCGTTGTACACTGTTGTGGGCACTCTCTTGGCAGTTGTTTCACAAGGCCTTCCCAGAGTGAGGCACATGTGGCTAGCACGTTTTACCGGGTATAAGTGTCTTATTCTAGCTGCGTACGTGGTGAAGAAGGTGGTACAGATGAACAATTGGAAAACAGGATACCACATTCGCATATATTGGCCATAACAAGACATCTGCCTACCTCAACACTTCGGTGGCCACGTCTGTGTCAAGGTGCACGGATTTTTGCGGAGGGCAACCACTCTGAATAGGGGCATATCCGGGTTGAAAATTTTTGGTGACCTGTCCTTCGTGCGGTCGTGGGTGACCAACAGCTATTGACTTACCATGAGGGCACGGGGCGCATGTTGATGTGGTTGTCACATGTACACGTACCATTCACTGGTACCGCTCCTAGAGCTGCTCTGGTATCTCTCCTGGAACTGTTTCTTCTCTGGTTACTACTCGGTAAGGACTATCAGGAATGCTTGCGCGGTAGACCGTTCTGGGCTGGTGCAGAGAGAGGTGAATTTGAAAACGGGCTGCAGTGCCAAAACTGTGATGTAGTATTTGTTGCTCTTCTGATCTAGTGAACTGGGTTCAGTTGTGTGCTCCAGTTCAGTTGGATAATCCAGGTTCAGTTGCGTGCTCCTGGGCAGTGTGTGAGAGGAAGGAATGGTGTTGCTCTTCTGATCTAGCAGTTTGTGGGAGGAGCATGGAACCGGGGTCTCAGTGGCGTGGAAACCTGGTCAGTTGAGTAAACTGGGTTCAGTTGCATGATCCTGGTCAGTTACATAGACCAAGTTCAGTCTGACTTTGGCAGTTTGAGTGTGCTAGGTTTTGTTTCACACATCTGATTGATAGAACAGGAGGTGGTGCTTTGGGACTCGTTAGTTTTCCCAGCTTTAGTGCCAAGTGCAGTCTCTGGTAAACAGACAGGAACACATGTATCCAGTGCGCATGCAGGTCCACATTTGAGATGCTGCTAGCTCATAGTGCTTTCAATTTGTCAGTTGTGTTTGTAGACTGTAGTGCTTATATGGTCTCGCAGGCTGTCTGGCTGTCTTGCTTTCTGTCTCTCCTAGTCTCTGTGCCAAGGTGTTTGTTTGGCTGTATTTGCACTCGTCTCCAAGCCTGTCCAGCTGTTTGTCTGCCAAATAGTCAATACTCATCCACTTAGGAGTAGAATAACTACCGCCTTCACCCGAATAGAATGCCCGGTAATTTTTGCCGCATCTGGACAGCAAGTTGCATCAAATACAGCTATAATGACCGAGCGTTCTATTCGGGTGAAGACGGTAGTAGAAGACAAAACATGTTTTTCATCCTGGTAATTTCACAATGTAAAACTCACAAAGAGCGCATGCCAGTCAATTGCAACTCAAATGAAAGAGATTGGATAGCGAATAACACAACGGAAGGAGAAGAATGAAGATTGGAAGAAGAAGAAGAATGAAGATTGGAAGAAGAAGAAGAAGAAGACGAAGAAGAAGAAGATGATGATGAACACAAGCTGCAACCTATGTCACTTTTCCCTCATCTTGCCTCCATCACTCTTCCCCATCATCCCCACCATCATCTTCCCTATACTACTAAGGGAAAGAGCGGTCCTCGTGTGGGTCCCAACAGAAACCAGGCGGCTCCGCGCGAGACTGGTGATGGGCAGCGGGTAATGGGGAACCGGTGGAACCCGGGGCGAGGGGCGGAAAAATCCTGGCGCGCACGGGCTGAAGAGGAGTTGGTCCGGCCGCGGACGAACTGGGTCGTCTTCTGCTCGCGTGGACCGCGATTCGTCGGGATGTTGGGCAATTGCCGCAGGCGGACAGCAGGAATCAGCGACGCGAGAGAACGACTGGATGGACATGAACGGGAGGGCAGCGGAAAGGATGGGAGGGTGGGAGACCGGTCAGCAACGTTTGGCGAGGTGAAATGACGGGAGGGTGGGAAACTAGCGGGCTGAGGCGGAAGGGAGGGAGGGAGGGAGGGAGAGAGAGAGACACAGAGAGAGAGAGAGAGAGAGAGAGAGAGAGAGAGAGAGAGAGAGAGAGAGAGAGAGAGAGAGAGAGAGAGAGAGATTTACATCGATTGGTCGACCAATGCACCGGCCAACAGGTGTTACTCCAACCCCGCGGCTGGCCTCACAGTACTTCCATTGACAGGATGAGCAAAATTGAATGAATGTTCCGCTAGGACATCGAAATATACACTACACGTGTGTG